CAGCGGGGACAGAAAGACAGACAGAGAGGCAGAGTAAGTGAGACATAGCCAGAGTGGGAAAGAGAGGCATAGGGAGCAGGAAAAAGGGGAAGAGGCAGAGAGACAGAGGCAGAGCAGCAGGCAGAGCTGGACCAAGGGAAAGCAAGAGCGTGAGTAGAGCAGGGAGAGCAGGCGCGGCAGGGAGAGGGAGAGCAAAAGAGTGGCTGTGCGTGCGGCAGTGCACACACAGCAGCGAGCAAGCGTGGGGCAGAGAGAGCACACGTGCAGCGGGGAGTGTGCCCGTAGGGCACAGGCAGGGGCAGCGGGCAGCAGGGAACGACAGCGTGTAGCAGAGAGAGAGACAGAAAAAGAGGGAGACAGACAGACAAGACAAAGTGCAAACTTATCCATTCCAAACCCACCTGGAGGGGAGAAAGCGCACCACAAGTGTATAGTATCTTTCAAAATTAAGGGAGAGCTTAGTAATGGAAAATAGAGATTTATCAACTCAAGTCCTTGGTTATAATAAACTAAAAATTTCTTAATATGCAAGGGATTTCCCACAGTCAGGTCAATCTTACATCTCAGGTGAAGAGCAGCACACAAAGAAATGCTTTCTCCTAAGACCTATAAATACCGACAAATATAGATACATGTATGTGCACCCCTTTTTACACCAGAAGCCTGCCTATAGTCTCATCTTCGCATCTGATTTTTCATACACCACATAAATGTGTTAAATATTCATATCCTCATTAAAGTCGCTCACAAAACTTGCCCACTTGGATTCTCTAATTCATATAAATCCTGTAAAACAGCAACACAAGTTCACCTGTGAATATCAGTTCTCTTCCAAACCAACATCCCAAAGTCACATCATGCTCTTTAGCAACCAGATATTAGATAAGGAAGAGGCCCACCATGCCAAATACTGACCAAAAGCAACCGGCACAAATTAATAGGGCCAATTAATAAAATACACAAATGGAGACTTTGAAGACAGAGGTCAAGGTAGTTCCCATGACACAGAAAACGATTCCTCTTGCCCTAATTGCACATCTGCAGGCAGCTACCACATGTGAATATCAGTGGCTGTCTGATCACATAGCCGTTCGCATGTCTTTCGGACACAGGGCTGACATGATTCTGCTAACCACAGTTATTGTTGCCACTGTTTTTCACCAACAATGCCTGAATAAATCTGTTACTTCTGTGTATTAAAACATCTGGGACATTCTCCATAAAGACAGTGTTGCTCTACTTTGTTTAAACGGCTGCCGTAAAACCAACCTACAACAGTATATACAGAGCATAACGTAGGCACGCAGGGCAAAGCCACTGATTTGTATGCTGTTAGCCTTTCCCTGTTTGGGAATCAAGCACTTATACATCAAGTATACATTACACATCCTGTTGCTACTGCAAAACTAGTCTGAGGTACTTAAATTTGTTTCAAGATGTTTCTTTCATACCAGTTCTTACCCTTCTGTGTCTACATCTCCAAATAAAAGAAATTTATTGTGAGAGTATACCAATGCTTAATTACTTATACATAAGCATTTAAACCTTACTTGGGGACTTTATGAATTGTTTTTCAGGTCAAATTGCTTGCCATGAGTATTAATTACATATTTGATGTAAAAGTACTTGATACAATCAAGAATTAATCTTCTGAATGAACACTTCTTCTGTGAGACAATAACCTCTTTCAGAAGATAGAGTGAAGAGAACATTATCTTCTTCCTAAAAGTGTAGCACAATTCATTTTTGTATTTTATAAAGAGTTGGTAACCATTACTGGTCAATTTAAATAGTCATCTGCCAAGTAAGACTACTAGAACTAGGAATCCCATGTTATTTCAGAGTCTCTTTTTCACCCTATAGCCTGTATTTATTGAAAGCTTCACATACAGTTCCACTTTTTGTCTTCAGTGGGAACATTCAGGCATGGCCAGAACAGCACACCTTAAATCCTGTTCTCATGTGTTTCAGTTGCTTGAAAATAACACTGTATTTTCCACTTTCAAACTTAGAACTCAGTTACAAACAGTACAACTTTGTGATGTAACATCCATCATAGCAATTATATACCAGGTGAGAGTATTTCAAAGCTATAGCAATCATATCATTTTACTCTTTGAGATATTTTTTCATTATTTATCCATCTCAAGTGACATTTTCAAACTATTATAGTAATTCTTGTTACAGTTTCCAAGAATTTAACGAATGCCTACTACAAATGAAGTCATACTTTCACTACTTGCATGGGGCTTTAGAAAACAGTGCAGGGACATTCTTGTCGAATAACTTACATTTCAATCTATTATGTAACTTTGCAATTCAAGAGCCATTACATAAAGTGCAGGCTTTGGAGAAGATACACAGAACTTTGTGTCCCAAGTATTTCTTTTCGTTATCTAAAGGTCTATCACCACAGTGTACAAAACAATCTTTAAAAGATGCACACCACTTCCTCTACAGCTTAACAATTATTTCATTTGGGAACGACAGGGGTTTTGTTTGTGCGTTTGTTTGATCAGCCCTGTAAGCATTCATGGTATTTGGAATGTTGGATCCATTTGCTAGAAAAAAAACACCTTCTGGTTTTACAAGATAATTAATTAAGTATGCCACAAAAAAGCAAATCTCTGATAGCTTGGTTCATAGTCAAGCAACTAAAGTTCATTATCTTCTTTCCACTTGTCTCCTATAAAGCAAGCATGTATCATACGCTTTCTTTATAGGAGAAGGAACATTCATATAGGAGGAAACATTCATATGTTAACAGCAATTTAAAAATTCCAAGACTTCCTGTATTCCCAATGACAAGGAATATAGATCTCTAATGCTGCTGAGCCCATCAAGTAAATTAAGGATAGCAGATTTCACTCAAAATGCCTTTAACAGCCACTTGCTTCCCAGAAAATTTGGAAGAAAGATAACCTATGCAGACATGTATGTACATATAAATAGACTAGCTTTTTTCTTCCTCTTATATGATGAAAAAGTGATACACACTGAACCAATGGATACAAAATTATTACTAATTACTGACTTCAGCCACAACCATGAACTGGATGCATGAATAATAAAGACAAAACAATGCAATCTTCTGTGAATACTCAACAGTTCTGATAGCCAGTGCTTCATCCCTACCATACTGTTTAATTTAGGATCTTTTATGCAATTTTTTAAAAGAAGCCATCAAGTATCAACAAATTTAGACTTGGGAAAAAAGTCCTCATGTCTAACAGTTGCAGATAATAAGGCCTTTAACTGAAATGTAGTTGTCACAGACCAACTACATGTAGTAGTAGCAGTTACAGAGACCATGCATGCAAACAATTCCACTGGTTTTAATAAGAAGTGTCCATAAAGTGATTACTGCTTGCCTCATTCAAGACTGCAGGATTGCCCTTAATACAGTTTTGCATACAGTGAAATTAAAATCAATTAGCTGACACTCATCTAGCAAAAGGCAATTTTATGATAAAATTTCTATAATGTATTTAGAAAGTTATCAAACAGGCACTCATTTACAGTACTGCACCACCAGTAAGCTAGCCAGCGCATACGTTGCTATGTGTTGGTTATATCACAAGCCCTCCGTACAAATGTGAAATGCAACTTTTTAGACTTCTGTTTCTCTTCATCTTCTTAGAAAGAAAGAGGGAATACGCTGTCTTGCAAATGCTTCTACAATCCTTCTGAGGTCAAAAAAAAAATGGAACTTGGGATGGGACACAAAAAAAAGGACAGCTGTCACTGAATAGAAAAGTTAGAAAATTAGAAAAGAAATAATTAAAAGCCAGTGATTTCCATGACAAGCTCTTTGAAAAGATGCCACCTGTGGAACCTTTTGCACAGCGTTAAAAGTGATCATCGCTGTACTGAGGAAACATTTGAAACTCTGACCGCTGCTAGAGATGTACAGCTGTGTTAATTAAAGTTTATGGGAAACTCAAGGTGTTACATACTACTACTTTATTACGGAAACATGATAATACACACATAATTTAAACCTTTATTGTATTGAAATGCATGAATGCAAGAGGGCAACAGTGAGAAACGTCCAGCTTAGAATCTTTCTCGAATGTTTGATTTTGTGACCCTGTTCCTGCAATTACATAGTGCATCTAGAACAGAGAATCTACAGTAAACTAAAAAGGATTACTACAGAAGTGTACACGCACTATCCAATACTTGCATTGTCTGACTTCCTGCAACTTTACATGACTAGCTTTCCTCTCTCTGATTCACACAGGAGAGCATGATGAAAGAAGTACGTACTCACTCTGCCTTTCCTTCTCTCATTGAGAAACAAAATGTTCTGCCTTTAGCAATAATGTATCACAAGAATGAAGTCATTCTGCACACCTATAAAGACTAAGGGATAGGTTGTGTATATGAAGACATAACAAACTTAAAAACAATAAAGAAGCATTGCACAGAGTCCATTTTCAGAGCTGATACATTTTCAGTTCATTTCTTTTTCCCCTCTGTTGTTTCCTCCTAACGAAATTAGTATTTTGAAACACACAAGTCTTTAAACCTACATGAACAAAACAGATTCTATATTTAAGTATTGCAAATAGCAGTTTCTTTTAAATTAAGAATGTTCAAAAATCATTATTACTTCTAAAACTGTAATATGGAAAAATCTGACACTGAAAAAGAAGCAGCATAAAAATCCTGTCCTTTTTTTTCACGTGTCTTGCTTAAATTGGGTGGGTGGGGGGAAAGAAAGGGGGATAGGATAGAGCGATATTAATTTTCAGATATATCATGTGCATTTTTCCATGGTTATATTCCCGTCCGTTATTTAACTGCATAATTAAAAGTTCACATCATCTCTGAAATACCGTATTCGAGAGTATATAGGGAAATTATTTCTCTTTCAGCTGTTGACTGCAATAGTTTTGAAGCTTTTTGTTCTCCACACATTCAGAGCAGTCTATCTTCTTGTTCTATCTCAAATGCAAAAAAGGAAAAAAAGAAACAGGATTATTTTAGACTCTAACCTGAAATGCTACAACCTCTGGCCTGCCCTTCAGCCCTTCCACTGCAAAGGTCTCTAGGTGCAGTTTGGGTAGCTGCAGGGTGAAGTCATTCCTGGTTGCCGCAGTCCGTGACAGCAAGGTCTGATCTCTGACCTAAAGGGAAAAAAACAGCATCAATGGTAATTCCCCTTCAGACACATTAACTGGGATGAACTGGGTCCCCTTGAGCCCACTGAGTGGACTTGCATTGATCGCTGGACCTGAAATCCATGAATAAATTTAGGACTAATTGATTTTTCGTTGCAAATAAATCTCTAATTCAGAGTGCTGGGAGAGAATGTTAAGAAGAAAAAGCATCTTCCCCAGGTCTGAAATGAGAAGGAAAGAAGAGACAGTAAGGGCTCGCAAGCCCACCTGGTATACACATTTCACAGATCTGTCCCCTGTAAAAACCTCAAAAGAAAAGAAGTAGTAATTGTACTTCTGACTCAAACAAACATCAGCTACGAAATTAAAAAGTTCATGCGATCACACAAACAAGAAGCTGGCATATGAGCTCTGCCTACTGTAGGGAGATCATATCAGTCCTCCACAATAAGGTTCATTTAATATCAATTCAGCTAAACTCCAGATTTAAATGAACAATCCTCAGACAAAGTAAAATAAACCAACCTGTAGCTCTGCAATTAACAGAAAGAAAAAAAAAACCCATCCTGCCACTAGATTTCTCACTGTGGACGCCCTATAAGAAATAACGCGCTAATTGGTATTAATCGACTTTTATACAGTTTCTGACTACGCCGATTCGGAGTGGGAAACGCTACAATTTGCACGGAATTCAGGCAGTTTGATATTCAGTTAGTTGTGCGGGCAGCCCGAAACGGAAGGATAAAACCAACCCCCCAAAGCGGTACCGGCGTGATGTCTCCCCGCAGGGCCGCCGACACACCCGGAGGCCGTTGGTGTCACAGTGCCACCTGCTGACCACGCCACAGACCGCTGCTCACTGCGAAACGCCCGCGCCTTCAGAGGGGGGAAAACGCAGGGGTAAAACTCTCCGCGACCTGAAGCGATTAACGCTTTTGTCTTTAAACACAGCCAGACGAATACTATTATCGTTACTTAAAATGCGGTATTTCTCCGCATATTACAACATGTGATTAGTCTATCAGGACGGATGTGAAATTACATGTATTTAACACGTAACTTCCCCAGACACATCACTTACATTCCTATATATACACCATACGCTGCCATACACCCACTTTTCATTCTATTTAATACAAAAATTATCATGTTCCCCTCCAGGAGATCCCAGTAGTCAGGTTAGATTCTAATACAGATGGACAGGCACACGTACAAATATGTATTAGCACAAACGAACAGATTCATTTGGCATAGACTGTATCTGTTGAGTAGAGCTAGTATTGTAAAAATAACTGTCGTTAACAACAATGCACAGTCCGATACTAAAACATATACTAAATATATACTAAATACATATAAATCAATAGATACATCATTTACTAAATACTATTTAAAATGAATTTCAGTTTTTCGTAGAGCCTCCCTTGCGGAAAAGAACTCACCAAACGCGAATTAAAACATATGTCCCTTCATTTTAAATCCCAGATTACTTTTTTGTAACCACTTATAAAATTAGATTTTTTTAAAATGTTGATTATGAACGAACATATTTCAAATAATAGCACAGCCTTTGAAATCTGCTCTGATTTAAAGCAGTACGCATGTGTAAATCTACTGATACAAAGAAGAAAAGATTTTATTTTATTCGTTGCTCTGTTCTGTGGGAATAGGGAGCCCAACATTTCCCAAGTTGACCTAAAGAATTCCTGTCAATACCTGTGGCTGCCAAACATATGCACTATGATGCAATTTTTATAACAGGAAAGGTCCTCTACACATTTTTTGCACACATAGTGCATTAGGTTCAGGATATACAGTCCTGTGGAACAAACATACTCTCTAGAGTCTTCTGTCAGCATGTGTAATTCCGGTCAGATGTTAACCTCGCTGAACATAACAAAATGCATTACTTTAAATACACACATATACACACACACACACATACATGCACTTGATTTACATTTTTATAGCTCATATATCCCAACTTTTCAGTGTCTTTGCTGCCGGTATGCACACAGATAAAAGAAAACATTAATGTGGATTAAGGTACTAAGAATTTATCAACATCAAACCACCAGTGTTTTGCCTTCTACCCTTCTGAACCGTAGTCAATAGATCTAAATATTTTACTGCACCCTGGCCAATTCATTGTTTGATGTTTAAAAACTCACCCAGAATCAAAGAAAATTTATTAAATTTCAGCCCCCAAATGAGATACTATTAGCTTTGAAAGTCAAGTTTAACTGCGATATTGATGATTCTCTTTTTTCTGTGACAAAATTCACAAGGGAAATCCCTATGTCAAAGTACAAAAGCAGATTGCTAATACTACAGGGAAAAAAACAATGTATAAGCAATGTAGGTATAATACACACACAATACAGACAGTGGAAGTCCTTTTAACCCTATTAGTTTCAAACTCTCCATTTCAGTATTGGGGCCTGACACTCACTGAACAATAAAATACAAAAGCCATTTTTTTAAATGGCTGAATTGTGGTAAACATATGACATTAATCCCACCACTGCAGAAAAGTGTATCGTAGCTCCTTAAAGAGTATGATATTTGATCTGAAGATTCACAACTAAAAAAAAAACAAACCCAAAACTTTGTGTTTGTAAATACTTAGATCGTAAAGAGTGAATCTCATTATCAACATGCATAATGAGAAACAGAAAACGAAGCGGGAGTTTTCCTTTGAAAAATACTCAGAAGGGTTCAGGGAAAATTGTAAGAACAAAAGACTGGGCATACACTGTACAAATATCATTACATTGTTTCTCTAAAAGTGAAAACAGTCTTCAAGTTGGCCACCTATTGAAGGAAGGGAAAGCTACAATAGCCATGCCTGGAAGGAATCACACTGGATAGGTGGTACCTATATGAAATCTTAGTTAAGAACTAATTTCATCACTTCCTGGTTATTTGCTTTTTGAGATCCGGAAAGATAATGACAGGAGTTGAGCGACTGTGATTATCTCCTCCTTCTCTAAGGAAGTGAGCACAGTACTCACATACACACTTTCATTACATAACTATCAGGCAAAGGTAAAACTGGTAATTTTATTTTAAAAAAAATCTTTTTATTTTGGTAGCTTAGCAAGGAGGAAAACCATCCTATGTAATTAAGGTTTACAGTGCAAGTTCAGAGCTTGTTTCGTATTTAATGACACTTTTTTTTTCTCCACATGAAATCTAGAGCAAGACTATTTTATCTGAGAGGTCTCCTTAGGCTAGAGTCCTAACGCTATAATCTAAAAAACTTGATCAGCTAATCAGGCACATTGCAGAGATTAAAAATGTCTAAGGCCAGTTCCACTTCCCTATATTCAAAAATTAATAGAAAGAAAAAAAATATACAAATGTATCTATATCCAATGCTAGTGAAGATTTTGGCTACTTCTGACTTCAGTACACAAAATTTTGGCTGACACCGTGAAAAGTTGCCAGAGTGATTTTATATGGAGCATAGCAAGTACTGTGACAGTGGGCTGCTGTTATGATCATTAGATTTTTCAGTTTAGCTTTACATAAATACTGTCTGAAAACAGGCAAAATCACACAGACCCACACAACTCTACTACAATACTCAAAACATTTTAAAACAAAGCAACATAGTGACTTATGACAGTGTTTAACTTTTTAATTAAGAGCACAACACAGAAGACAAGACTATAGCAACTCAATTTACAATCAATAAAGTACTGATGAATTCAGATCAAAGCTAAAACTGAATAATAAACTGAAGTTACGTTATTGACTGAATGAAGGTGTAGAATTTGATGCGCTAATTCTACATGTCCAAAAATGATATTAAAAATTCTCTGCTGATCAGAGATAACAATAATTTTGTCTACAGTCCACTTCTGTGCTCACTTCTTTGTTTACTCTCTGCAGGTATGTCCAGTTATGCCAAAAGAGACATGGTACTAAATGCCAGCAAGTTGTAAACGGTACTAAGATGCGCTTACCCCTCCCTACTGCCTTTGCCTGGTTACTGTCTGACTGGTACAACAAACCTGAGATTTTAGTTCTTTGTCCTGGGCCTAATTCAATGCTTTCTTATGGTGAAAATAAAGTAATATTTATGGATATAAACTTCACTATGTGAGTGAAGGAAGTGTATAGGAAACCTTTTATAAGTTCAAAGTTCACCAATTCTACATAAAAAATAGTAGCTAGAAAGTAAAAGACTTTGGGCTTATTTTACTTTCATTTCCCACTACTATTTTTAATAGCATACCATCTGCAATTTAAACAGTGGAACAAAAACTACAATGATGCAGTGATTTGGTGACAAATGAATGGCAGACAATGATTTAGCTTGCTTGACTTTGAGATGACCATATTGCTTTGATAACAGAAGCTACAAATACGTTATGCAAATCATTCTCAAAGAGTGCAAGCAAAATGGTTCCTACCACACCATAACGTGTTCTGCATGTGACATACAATTAACAAAAATGTTTTTAGAACTTTTAAAAATAGAAGGAGGCAGCCTGAATGCAAACCACTTCTTAGTCTTAACCACGGTCTTGTAGATATGTGGCTGATATAGCTGCATAATGTCCGTACCTCCAGGGCAGCATGTAAAATGGAGGCCATGTTGCACAAATCAAGGACATGCACATCTACTGAATGTGGTCCTTTGCCTTCTTCGATAAGAAGCGCTTTAACAGAAACAAGTTACATAGTACCTCATTTGAATGAGCAAGTCTTTGTTACAGTGGCGCAAATGATCATGGAACCAAGGAGAATAATAAAAAAGTATATACCTTGGGGGACAAAATTAAACCTTCATGAAGACTCCCCAATTTTTCAACATTTAGTTATGAATTGTTGATGTTCTCTTACCGTATACCAAAAAATACAAGTGAATATACATTACGGAAGTTGCACCAACAATAGTACTGAATAGTGTTGGTAACAGTAGTTCCTCAAGTAATTTGCCAATACAGATGATCTTTCTAAGGATATACCCATATACCGTCATTCCTGACTACAGG